CCCTGAGGGGTTTCAGACCCCCCCCTTGTGATACCGATCTTGCTAGTCTCCCACAGATGAGAGCGTAGGATGAGCAGCCGATGAAATGCAGCTGAGAAAAGCGACGTATCGGGAGATGATTCAAAGGCTCTGGGTGGTAATTACTGTTCGCTATGCAGATACCTTCAGGACTGGGAACACAGCTCCCCCTTTTATCTCAAGCCAGCCAGAGCTCACACTGCCGGCACACCTGGAAATGAGGTCATCGACTACCCTGATGAGAGCGTAGGATGAGCAGCCGATGAAATGCAGCTGAGAAAAGCGACGTATCGGGAGATGATTCAAAGGCTCTGGGTGGTAATTACTGTTCGCTATGCAGATACCTTCAGGACTGGGAACACAGCTCCCCCTTTTATCTCAAGCCAGCCAGAGCTCACACTGCCGGCACACCTGGAAATGAGGTCATCGACTACCCTGCCAGCTCTGCTCAGATCGTGCTGGGCTTGGGCACAGACGAAACAGGCGCCTCGTGTTCACTGGGTGATGCGTGTTCTTCTGCAGCCAGAAAGTCTTACCGCCGACACGAGACAAGACGCTTCTCGTCCTGTCTCAAGGCAGAGGTTCGGGAGCTGCTGCACTGTGGCTTTCCTCAGACATGTCCTTCGCGGGAGGGGGCTGGGGGCAGGTTTTGCTGCTGGGAGAGGTTTCCAGAGCTGCTCAAATCTGGCTGTTTGTTTGGGTTGCTAGGGAGGAGGGGAACGGGGATTGGAGGGGAAGGTGTGGGATTGTGGCAGTGAGCGCTGGAAAAGGCTCTGGAGGTAACATCCAGCCCAGCCCTGCCATTTACTGTAGCGCTTTGCGCTGGGCGGCTCTTGAACTAGGGCTGTTTCGAAGTGATTTCCATTGTGCGTAAGCTAGCGAGAAGTGTGCGGAGAGCGGGGTAAAGCACAGCCGTTGGGATCACATGGTGAATGGTGAAGACTGTTTGATCCAGGGCAGGACTCTGGATGTTCGCTTGCCCGATGTCCAGTATTCAATTGGACAGTCCGGTTTTTGGGCCCTCTCTCCGGTAAAAAAATTCAGAAAATATCGGACATGTGCAATGTCCTTCTGGTTTTCTGGCTGGGCGCCTGACGGAAGCCTGGAGGGGGCGGGCGGAGTGGTTGGGAGGCAGAGCGTGATCGGCGCTGGGAGCCTCTGGTTGAGTCTGACATAGGAGTGACGCCTTGGGGAGGAGGAGAAGCCCTGTCTGTGCCCTGAGCGCTGGTCAAGCGTGTTGTGGAGCTGTAGCCGGACTCGCTCGTACTTCGCTGGGACCGTGCAAGGGACAGGCAGTGACCTGGGATCTGCATGTGCCTGGGTCAGTCCCGCTTCCTGCCTGCTGATTCTCTCCCCCCCTGCTTCCACCCTGCTGACAAGCCCCACTCCCCCCCGACCCCTTCCGATCAGCCCCTCTCCTCCGACCCCCTCCCA